TTCAAAGATCTTTAGTTGTGTAAGTTATATCTATCAATATTTATCATGTTAGAAATTAAAATAAAAAATTTTGAATATTTGTTCACTGAGAAATAACAGTAGGGCTGGGGATGTAGCTCAGTGGCACTGTGCCTGCCTGGCAAGCACAAGGCCCTGAGTTCGATTACCGGTACCACACACACACACAAAAGTTGAAAAATAACAAAAATCCCATGACACAAATAACATATTTTCTCTTTTCTCCCCTCCCCTTTTCTTTTCTTTTCTTTTCCTTTCTTTTCTAGTAGTACTGGGGATTGAACCTAGGTCTTTCACACTGAGTTACATCCCCAGCCCTTTTATTAATATGATTTTATTTTGTGACAGGGTCTTGCTAAGTTGCCCAGTCTGGGCTTGAATTTGTGATTCCTCTGCCTCAGCCTCCTAGAGTCTGGGATTACAGGTGTGCACAATGCCACCTAGTTCTTACTTTCTTTCTTGAAACTGTTCTTTTTGAAGATGAGGCTTTGGCAGCCTTTCTTCTTGTGGCTAGTCAATAAATACTTGCTGAATGATACTTAATTGGAAAGTGAACAGTTTTTACTGAAGGAGTAAATAGGTAAGCTTTACCTTTACTCCCAAGCCCCTGAATATAAATACTAAAAATTTTATAAGTGCATTCAGTCTTTTTTTTTTTTTGGTATCGGGGATCGAACTCGGGACCTTGCGCTTGCAAGGTAGGCGGTGGAACCACTGAGCTAAATCCCCGACCCCATTCAGTCTTTTAATGTATTTGAGTTTCCACCTTGTGCTAGGTGCTGTACTAGATAGATGTTGGAGATGCAGTTCAGTTCCTGTTCTCATCTGTCTTGTGGTTTTACAAGGGATACAGACAAGTCATAACTTAGTTGTTATTTGTTTCAGTAGTGCTATGGTGAGCTAGTAAAGGGGGTTAATGAGAGCACCTTGGAAATTGCATCTTACCTAGACTAAAAGAGCCAGGGAAAATTTATTTAGAAAATTCCCTTCTAAGGAGCAAAGCACTGAAGGATATCTAGAAATTACTAGGCATAAGGGAAAAGAAATGTGTTTCATTTCAGGGAGTATCTGGCTAATGAAAAAGCCTAGTAAGTTTAGGGAATTCTATGAAGCAGGAAGGTTGGGTTTTGTGATACTGAGGGATAATGAGAGGTGAGACTCCAAAAGGTAAGCGGGAACAGATGTTTAAGGGCCTTGTAAGTTAAGAGTTTGTCCTGAAGGCACCGAGGAACCACAGCTAGGTCTGTCCGTCCGTCCGTCCGTGTGTGTGTATGTGTGTGTGTGTGTGTGTGTGTCCCCGTGTCCCCGTACGGGGATCGAACTCAGGACCTTGCACTTTCGGCACCACTGAGCTAAATCCCTGGCCCCACAGTTAGGTTTTAAGCAGATAAGTGGATGGTCAGTTTTGTATTTTACATACTGACTCCTAGTATAAGACAGATGGGAAACTCTTTTCTCTCTCTCTCTCTCTCTCTGTCCCCCCTCATCCCCCTCCCTCTCCCTCTCTCTATCCCCCCCTTTGTCTCTCTCTGTGTTTCTTACTTTGGCTTGCCCTCCCTCCTCCCTCTCTCCCTCCTGGCCATTTATTATGGTAATATAAATTTATCATATAATTAAATATATCTAGGGCTAATGATTAACTGGAAGTTAGGTTTTGAGGATAAATAGGTGAACTTAATTACTAACTGGTTTCAAGGTAGGAGGATTATGGGGAAGCAAGTTTTTCCTTTTAAAGATGAAACTTCTTTAATTGGGCATGGCGGTGCATGCATGTAATCCCAGCACTTGGGAGGCTGAGGCAGGAGGATCGATGCGAGTTCAGGGCTAGCCTGGGCTACACAGTGAGTTCAAGGCCAGGCTGAACTAACATAGCAAGATCCTATCGCAAAAAATCAAAAATAAAATAAAGATAGAATTTCTTTTCAGCTATAGAAATGGGCAAATCACATTAATGCTACATGACTGGCTTAGGTAATTGCATTAAGCAGTGGCGATGAAGCCCAGTGCAGGTTCCCAGAAGAATATTTACAGCTGTGTAGATTTCACCTCTGATGTTAGCATTTGCATTAAAAAACAACAACAACAAACTCCCTTTGCTCTCCCATCTCTGCATGTAAAGAAAAGGTCATAAATACTACATGATTGAAAGAGAGCAAATATACATTCCTGTGAGATCCAGCCAGAAATACATATAATTAAAAAGTGGACTACAGAACTGGAGATAGTAAAAAGACAAGTGGCTGCCAGAGGAGGGAGAAATGAATAGGCACAGCACCAAGGATTTTCAGGGCAGTGGAGCTACTCTGTGTGATACTATAAGGATTGATACATGTCATTATGCATTTGCCCAGATCCATGGGATGCACAGTGCCAAGAGTGAACCTTATGCACACTGTGGACTTTGGGTGGTACTGATTGTTAGTGTATATTCATCATGTATAATAAATGAACCATTCTGGTGGAGGAGGCAATACATGTGTGGAGTCAGGTAGATGGCTTAATTTTGCTGTGAAGAACCTAAAAGTGGCTTTAAAAGTGAGCCATGTTCTCTGAAAGGCTCAAGAAATATGTGATTTCAGTACTCTTGTACATGTATTTCTGGTGACACACTATCATTAAGTTAGATTTTTTTTTTTCTTCTGGTATTAGTGATCTAACTCAGGACCTTGTGCTTGCCAGGCAGGCACAATGCCACTGTGCTACATCCCCAGCCTGTCACAATATTAAGTGTTCGTTTGCTCTTTGTGAACTAGGCAGGTGATTGCCAAGATCCCACATTCTTTGCCAGACCAATACACTCATAATATTCACTCATATTGTGAATATTTCACTTATAATGTTAATACTAATGCAGTGTCTTTTTTAACAAGATTAAAGAGAGTAAAGTAAGGTCCGGGGATTTAGCTCAGTGGTTTTGCTGCCTGCTGAGCAAGTGCAAGGACCCAAGTTCGATCCCCGGTACCAAAAAAAAAAAAAAAAAGAGAGAGAGTAAAGTATATTCTGTTAGGTTCATTAAGCTAATGCTTTTGGTATACAAAAGACTGAGTTATGTTCTTTTGGTTTTATAAAGTATACATTTTTGTATCTTTTTAAAAAAGAAACTATAAGTGGTATATTTGGAATTAAAACTATCTTGAGGATAACTGACATTGTGACCTTTTATAGTAACAATTTGAATATGGTTTAATACTTTAAAAAATAGGTAATATAGTTTATTCTGCTACAAAGCAGCGGTGGTGCTCCTAAGAAATTTGTATTTTCAAAAAAAATGAGCACTAAAATTAAGATGTGTTACGTACATGTACCAACTCTCCATGATGAATGTAATCATTATGTTCTACAAACATACTAATAAAAATAAAAATTGAAATTTTAAAAATAGCTATTTTCATGTATACAAGGGGTTGGGACCAAAAGATAGTGGATGTTTTAAAAAAACAAATTTTAAATCCAGAGTTTCTCCTCTGAACTGCATAACACAAAAAAATTATTTGAATGACTGTTTTCTCAGTTCTCCCAAAGATGGCTCTTAGCTGTACCCGTCCAGATTCGAGGGGAGAAGTTAATTGCATTATAGTGAGTGCCTTGGGCATTAAGGCTTAATTTTTTGATGAGCCATTTGAATAGGGCTGCCATAAAATATAACTTAGTTATATTTCTCCCCTCTTCAAACACTAAAGACACCCAGAGATGATTATATATACTGTATCTTTTGTTTGAGAGTAATGGTCTTTCCCTTTGTATCACCACTAGGCTTTCATTGGTGTCCTGAGTTGTTACTGCATTTATGGACCTTATCCATCGTTTATTAGAATGAACAGGATTGTAATGTTTGTATGTGAATTCTGAAGCTAGGCTGTGTGGGTTTGAATTTTATATCTAACACTAACCAACAGTGTGCTTCTATTTGATTATGGTCTCTAAAATGAGGACAATTGTCAGAGGTGGTAATGGCCTCAAGTGCTTACTTTAAGTAAGTAAACTGCAAAATAGTTTAATTTTTCCTTGCCTGTAGGAGAAAAAAAACATTGTTCCCTTCTTTTAAAGCAATTCACAAAGACTTTAACACTTTCTAGAAAAGAGAGATACAAATATAATATTACTTGGGAACAAACCTACCATTGCTTATTTAATTTTCTTCTGTGATAAATAAAGGTTCATCTTTGTGTACTTGCTCTTCTATTTTGTAGGCTGAATTTTTTTTTTGAGAAAGGATCAATTTTATTTTTTTTTTAAATTTATTTTTATTCGTACATTAAAAATTCGTAATGATCACATTCATCATAAGGAATTTGTGCCTGAACATTACACATCTTCATTCTTCTTTTTTCCCCAATCTCCTCCCCTCTCTTCAAACACTCACTGTATAGCCCAGGCTGGCCTCGAATTTGAGGCAATCCTCCTGCCTCAGTCTCCCATGTGCTGGGATTATAGGTGTGCACCACCACCATGCTCTGCAGGAAGAGAATTTTTAAGGTGAATATGATCTAAAATATTTGCACTGCCAGACAAAGCTTTATTGTGTCTACAAACAAAAAACAGACATACCTGCATATATGTCAAATAATTGAAAGACTGATTCATATACCCCGCTTTTCAATTAGAATCTTAACTCTTAGCAGTTTCTTAGTGAACAAATGTACATACATACTTTCTGAAAGTTTTATTGACATGTTGTCATAAATTTAAAGCTTAACACCTCTGTGTTGTTTAATATATATCAATTCCTTATATTCCAGTCAGAAATCATAAACAGGCATAAGCAGTTATACTTAGTGGTTCATAAAGTACCTGGCATACGGTGGACATTTGATAAATGAATTTAAATTGTTCCGTATTACAAATAAACTACTTAGTAAAAACACTTGCACTTTTACTTTAAGTAACTATTTAGCTCTTAGAATGTTATTCTGTTGTGTAGTTAAATTATCTGATCTGCTTAATATTCCAGTCTTATAACATTGTTAGTTGGAGTATTTTCTCAGTGACTCACATGTAAAAGTCAACAGACAGACTTACCACTTGTGTGAGGTGGCTGTTTAACCATGAAATAAACTGTTTTTATTTCCATTGCCCCATGGATGTGGTCTTTCTGGCAGCGATGTCCATATTTGGTAGCTGTGCATGGAGAGCCAGGTGGTGCTGAAAAGCATCGCACAATGAAGCGTGGATGTATCTAGGTTTGACATTTGTCATCCCTTACTGCTGAAGGGAAGGGGAAAATCTGTTTTTCCATATGCTTGTGGGGTTTTTTTGCCTGCAGCTTTGTCCAGATGGTCTCATGAACATTGTTTACTCTGGGATGCTGTCCCAGATGTTTTGAAACCTGATGGGTAAATGTGGCACACAGATAGGTAAATTATTTGCATATTATAGTTTTGAAAATACTATTTTTGTGTAAGATTAAAATATGATTTTGGGAGGTATTTTTCCAAGTGAATTACATATACATATATATATATATAAAATTTTTATATATAGTTACATTCTGTAGTTTATTTCTCCCAACATTCCGTGTTCATGTTAGAAAGTTAAATAATATCAAGGCAGTATTTATTAAGAATGTTAAGTAAGGGAAGCACTTTTAAGGGTCATGTTCACTCAGGGTTGCATATATCCAAATCTATATGAATCTTGCCCCATTTTTTTTTTTTTTTTGGTATTGGGGATTGAACTTGGGACCTTCCACTTGCGAGGCAGATGGCTGAACCACTGAGCTAAATCCCCAGCCCCTTGTTTTATTTTTAAAATAATTGTTCTCATTTTTTCTTTTTGGTATTGGGGATTGAACTTGGGACCTTCCACTTGCGAGGCAGATGGCTGAACCACTGAGCTAAATCCCCAGCCCCTTGTTTTATTTTTAAAATAATTGTTCTCATTTTTTCTTTTTGGTACCAGGAATCGAACTCAGGGCTTCATGCTTGCTAGGTAGGCGCTGTGCTGCTGAGCTACATTTCCGGCCCTAATTATTCTCATTGTACATAAATCATAGGTAAAAATTTAGGTAGTAAAATGACCTGGACTTAAAATCAGAAGATTATATTGTTACTCTGAGCAAATCACTTATCTGAGACTAAATTTTATAAATTAAAATCAGAGTTTACCTCCTTGCCTGAAAAGATAGAATAATGTTTGGGGTAATTACTCTTTCATCTTGAATTCTTAAAACTCACTATGAAACCATCTGTTGGCAGCAGATTCAGTGAGAATCTGAAAACTGCCTATTCTGGAGCCTACTTGGAATCCCAGATACAAACGGGACAGACTGTTCTGTCTGCAAACCCAGCCAGATTCCATGTCAGGCTTCCTCTGAGTTTTTCTTCAATACTGGTGATTTTTTCTATTTGCTTTTTTTGTTCACTTCCAGGCTTGAGATCTAATAACAGCCAATAATTTTTTACAAAAGAATATAGAGGGCTGGGGATTTAGCTCAGTGGTTCCGCCGCCTGCCTTGCAAGTAGAAGGATCCGAGTTCAATCCCCGGTACCAAAAAAAAAAAAAAAAAAAAAGAATATAGAGAGGCAAACAGGATTTATGAAAAAAATGCAGCATAGGATAGGAAAAAAAGTTGTTAGAACTTGGAAGAAAAATCTTCTCTGTGAAATAGACTTGCATAATGAGAGAAACATCTTAGAAAGCAGTACATTCTCAATGAGCTATTTCCACATTTTAAAAAGAAAAGTCAGGCTAGGGGTATAGCTCAGCAGTAGAGTGCTTGCCTAGCATGTGTGAGGCCCTGGCTTCAATTCTCAGTATCACAAAAAAAAAAAAAGAAGAAAAAGAAATTAGAGATAATACCCACAATAACCCACAGTATTACAAGAAAATAAAAAGAAGAAAAGCTATGAAGGCATACAGTGGCT